ATATTTTGAAAATTGTAGAACACATTCCATTTGTCCTGCTTAGTCTAAATGAAAATGTGGTCACTTTAATCTTGGAACAAGCTACAAACTGATAATTTTCACACTATATTTAACTCTGGGAGCTTGAAAATTTTTTTATGACTTACAAAATTGTAACAAATCTACGACATTCTGCCTTAATACGATGTAATATATTAGTAGTTTTCTATCATACAGGGTTCGTACCCATTTCTGCACATGGAAATTAAGTATTTTTAAGGACCGTTAATGAAAACAATTAAGGACCTATCAGCAAATGGGAGCTGAATAAATTCGATTAACTTCATGTCTGAACTTTACTTTTGTAACAACACTCTAAGAATAAAATACATTTGTAAATAAGATGTATTCTTATTAAACATAATTTAATAAACATAACTACAAAACAAATTTGAGAGTAAAATCCACTTGATAAAATTTACGAAGTAGCATTAAATATTTTACACATATAATAGTTGGACATATCAGAAAAAGATTAGGGACATTTTATTTACGTTTTACTAACAGTTGGCTTCATGCTGGTTTTTTCTTTTATGTCTCATTTTGCCCCATACATAGTCTAGAGCAGCGGTTTTCAACCTTTCGACTAATGCGAACATAAAAAATATATCATTAAAATTGGGTTACCATTTTTATTATCAAAATTTAAGTTATAAGACTTTAATTCTAAAATTTAGTCCAAAATTTGGGTCCATTTAAGAGAGACAAATTTCTTTGTGTCTGGTCTTACTTCACTTAGTTTTACCAAGAAATTAGGATCCACTTTTAATTTTGTTGCACATTTAATTTTTAAATATAACATGGAAGAAATTTCTTGTTCACACAACTAGGTTGTGCGAAAAGGGAATAAAAAATTAATAGCTTTATTTGAAATGCCTTTAAAGCTATTTTTCGATTCAGATAAACGTTAACAAGTGTATTATTTTTTAAATCTTCAGTTTGAGCACAGGAAATTCTCTATAAATTTTTCTTTTTCTTTACAAGATTTTTGAATTTAATAGTTAAAAATACTTCCACGAGTAAAAATATACCATCAGTGGTACACGTACCACCAGTTGAGAACCCCTGGTCTAGAGGTTTAGTAAATATCAGGTAGATTTTATGTCAAATCATAACCAGCATGATTCGTAACAGAAGACTGGCTGTTGCTGGTGCTGCTGCTTGCCTAGAGAGACCTGTTGATCAGAACAAACCTGAAAGCTTGATGTAGGCATGGTTGGCAAATTTTGAAATTTAGTTGTGCTCCGTATGTCTGATGCAGTTAAGTGTTATAGCTTCATGTAAAGTTTCTGGGATTGTAAGCCAGTTAATATATTTTAAGGTTCCAATAATCCACTAATGCATCAGAAGTGATAAATTGATTTATATTATTTTAAGTCTCACTAGATGCAGAGAATGAGTTTTGCATTAATTTTAACATTTTTGTGCTGTATCTTGTAACCACAGCACGGATTAATGAAATGCTATAACTTTAAAAAAGCATAGATAACTTTTAAAGGTGAGCAGTTAGTTACAAATAATTAAATTAGGTAGTTTAATACCCTTAGTCGTTATAGATTTACGTGACCACTATTACATGTTATTTATTTTTAAAAACATTTGCTAAAAAAAGCACTATTAAAATCACAATTTAATAACATTTCAGAGTTTAAAACGCATGCAATTTATGACACTGATTCTTAAACGGTATTAGGATAACAGCACATTAAAAGCTACAAAACAGCGTCTTTTTAATTTGAAGCCTTCCCAGACATTTTGGCCTAATTTATATCAATTTTCTTCTCTTTAACCCATTCGCGACAGGCCCTTTTGTTACCAAAGCATTCTCTTAAGACGGCGCGTCCTGTGGGGACGGGCAATTTATGCCGCTAAGTCTAACTTTGGAAAAAAATTCGTATAAATGAAATTTGTCATGCAATTTTTCCAATTTTGGGTACATTATGAGAAGAACAATCAGGTAGTCATCAGCATTAATTTTAAGCCTTTCTTATTATATTTTCCTCAAAAATTAAAAAATAATCATTCTGGAATAATATAATTTTTACCTTATCCCACAAATAAATACATATGGAAAAATATCCAAACAATCGCAGATTTTATTTAGCACAACATACAATTAAAATTTAAAAATATTAAAACACTCTTTCATATAAATTCAACAAGCAAACAACGAAAAGTAAGCAATATTTCAAAATGAAACAGTGTATTATATTCTTTGAAATATGGGTGTACGTGAGGTCCACCGTTGCATAGTCACAGGAATATAATATCTGCTGCTTTTTTATTCAGCAAATTTAACTCGTTTAGCATTTGTATATGTTCTACAGTCAGATAGTGCCTTCGTATCGCCATTAAAAAAAAAAAAAAAAAAACTTTCGCTAAGCGATGCAAAATATTCGTCTCAATGCCGGAAAACTCGAAGAGTAATAAAAAAAGTCTCTAATAATAGAACATCTACTCTACTATAACGAGATAAAGAAATAAAAATAAAAAATAGAAAAATTAATAAATTCAATTAAAAGTATTCCAGAGCATCGAGAACATCTTCATTTGTCTATATAAAATGACGCAGTAAGAGCCATTACATTACTTAACACTAATGAATTAGCAATTGTGGATATTCTACGTTTAGATACTGCTTTTATAGCATATCCTATTTTAAATTAATGATTTATTAAATGAATTGCACTATGCTTTTACACTTTTTTTTCCTGAAGAAATAAGAAATGCTGATCAGTTTGTTTTATTTGAAAACAAATATTTATCCTATGCATTTTAGAACAAAACAAAATGTAGCTTATACCTAATAGATGACGTACAGTTTCATTTGCTTTATTCATTTATTCAAAATTTTTAAAAAAGAAACAAAAAGGCAAGAAAACAACGAATATCCTTGAAGTGAAGTTTGAGAAATTTTTATTCTTCACATGAAAGTTTATTCATTCAAAATAATGCGAAACATGACATTTTGAAAGCATGGAGGTAATGAAGAGCTTTGTGCTCTCATTAATAATGCTTCAGTTTAACATCTGGTTCAAGCTTAAAATGAGAACTTATAAATTTTCATGATGGTTTGTATTAAAACTAAAAAAATAGAAGAAAAATAGGATGATACTGTAAGTTATGCCTATACATTTAGATCTTAAGAATATAATATGGGGTTACTAAATCCCGAATGGCAAATAGATTAAGAAAGTCTCATATTTCAGACAATGAACTTGAAAAAAAAAAAATTAAACTTAAGGAAAAAAAATTTCGAAGCAAATTTTCAAGCTACCAATTCTCCAGTATTTAGCAAGCTTACAACAATGCATTCCAAACATATTGTAACGAATTTCGCATAATGTAACATGCAAAGTTTGAAGATAGTGAAGCTCTGCCAGAAAAATTGTATTTAACATTGACATAAATGGCTATCTCACGAAATTGGCAAGATATTGCCAAGAATGGTTTGGGCAACTAATTTTTGCAGCCAAATTTGGCAAGAAATTACCAAAAGTCGTCAAATTTTACAACCACCTGGTTACATTTCAGTCCGATCCCTGTACAACTGCAGTTTGTATTATATGTGAATAATCATAATTGGTCCCTATATGTAACTATAACCATATCTGGCACATTCCAGTACTTTCGAGAAGTGGAAAGTTTCCTTCCAGTAATTTCGAGAAATGGAAGGTACTATATTTCTCAGCAGCTCTGGGAAAACTATATAAGGACGGAGAGAGCATCAGTTCTCAGCTCAGAGCTGACTTCAGAGTATCAAGAAATCTTTGTGCAAGCTTCGCTGTTTCGATGCACTTTGCACTGCCTTGTGTTTAATGTCAGTAGTTCATAAGTAGTTTGAAGTGGTAACTACTGATTGTGCTGTTTCCTATTGAGAAGAATTGTACAAATACTTTTGTGGAAAGTTCCAGAGCTGTAAAGTGTTTTGTTGAAAAAAATAAATTTCATCAATCTATCATCAGTTCCGTGTGCATTTAATCCATTACGAATCCATATGGATGTCACAATTTTCTAATTACTGACCCATTTTTGTGACAAAAATTTTTACAGACAACCCCTTTTAATAAATCTTACAAAAGTAAAATCCCTAAGAACTCAATTTTATTACTGCTGAAATTAATTTTGCAACTCCTCAAGTACCAGGGAAAAAAATGGATAAGCTACAAATACTTTGTGAAAGGAGTGGGCATATTTTTAATTTAGATGAAGGAAGGCTATTTCAGCAAGTTCTTCTACATTAAACTTTTTTTTTAATGAAGTGCATTAAAAGATAAGCATCAAAAGAAGAGTTAACCATAATTTTATGCTGTGACATTAGAAACTTACAAAGCCATTTGCATCTGGGAAAGCATAAGAACCTTAACCTTCACATACATTGATCATGCAGCTTCAAGAAAAATTGTATCTTTTAATGCAAACACATTTAAAGAAATTTAAAAAAAAAGAACTTATGGATAGTGCTACTCCTCATCCTTCCGATTTAAGAACATAGCCGTTGTGTTTTCCACACTAGATACCACGTCTACATGCCAATCTTCAGATCAAGGTCTAATCCAAAGTTTCACAATTACAGACAATTTTTCTTATGCTATATTCTATCCAAAGCCTCCCTCAGCTCAAAATTTTTAATGTGACTAAAAGGCAAACATTATAGATGCTACTGAGTGGATAACTTTAATGACTGATGAAGTGCAGCATTAAAAAATATTTTTAAAAAGTTTGTTTCTTTTAAATATGCTTACTACCTTTTCAACTTTATAGTACGGTTAAAACAAATTATTCCAATTCTTTCTGATTACAACAATATACAGCGAGTAATTTTTATAAATACACTTTTAATGGCTAATACCAGAACAGAACACAATCCAGAATTTAGACATATTACAATACAAAAAATTAACAAGAATTAAAATTCATAACCCTGTTACTACCAAAAAATATTCAATAAAACTAATTACCATTTCAGAGCTGTGTTTGCCAATCATAAATGATGGACAATAGAGAGAATTGCTTAAACCACTTCGAAACGCAGCTTTGTGAAGGTTTTCTAACAAAACTAGAAATATTATGATCATTTTAGAATAAATATACATATATTATAAATCTTTTATTAAATTATGTCAATGCTAATACATAACATCTTTTATTAAATTATGTCAATGCTAATACATAACTTACATTTAAACTTCAATTAAAAAAGTATCTAAAAATAACATATAATTAAACTTTTAAATGAATAACAGAGTTCATACACCTTTCTACACATGGAAATTAAGTAATTTTACAGACCATCAATGTACAAAATTAAAGACCTGTCACTAAAAGGGAATTCAATAAATTAAAGCAATTGTCTATGCCCGAACTTTACTTTTAAAATACCATTATAAGAACAAATTAGATCTCAGTGTAGGATCTATTAATATTAAAAACATAATATTTAACATAATTATAAAACAATATTGCATTTTACATTTAAAACAGTCCTACATATTTTACAGAAGGTTAGTGACACTTTTTAATCACATTGTTTAACTAACATTGGTTAGTGACATTGCTACAATGTTTTATTAATAGTTAGCTTTATATGTTAATTCTTTCTTTTATGCCTTGTTTCACCACGTACTCGCTCATTCCAGAAGTGTTCGCAGATTTTATGTCATGACTTGGGTTAAAACCAGAAGTTATAAACAACATGATTTCATAATAGAAGCTTGGTTGTTGCCACTGCAACTGCTTGCTTACATAGAGAGGAGCTGCTGATCAGAACAGACGAGCGCCAGATGTTGGCATGGTTGATAAGGGTTGAAAGTTAGTAGCACGTTGTCTGCCTGACCTAATTAGTATTGATGCAAAAGCAAAGTTTAAAGTTATAAAAATATTTAGCAGAAATAGCAATAGAAGCTCCCTAAGATTATATACTACACAGACATAGAAGACAAAGTTTTAAACTTAACCAATTTATTAACAATATATATCAAAAATAAAAATACAATAAATAAATTTGATCAATATCAGAAACTTAAAGAGTGTAACATAATCATTGTCAAAAATTATACTTAGTTAACTATTCATTAACCCCAAGGGTTTTTTCTTTAAAGAATATTACACTACTAATGATACAGTAAATATATTACCTGATCTATGAATACTGGCTTTCAATACGCGAAAAACATATCACAGAACAAAATTACGTGATTAATTTGAATTTCACTTCACTATAAAGGTCTATACTTTTGGCCAAGAAGGCACCTGAATAATTTAATTAAACCTTGAATGCACTTGAACTGGTAAAAGCCGATCACTGTAGTTGCTGACCGTAAATCACAACTTGAGATTTGATGCCGCTTAATCATGAAACAGGATGCCGCCCACGGCAGTTGCTCACCGAAAATCACAACTTGGAAAGACATCGCCACTAGACCTAAAAACACTTGTATAAAAGATGCCGCCGCCTTCAGCAGTTGCTTACTGAAAACCACAACCTGAAATTTGACGCTGCTTAACTTTGGAAACTGGACGCCGCCCACAGCAGTTGACCACCGGGAACAACTTGAGATCTATCGCTGCCGAATCATGAAACAGCAGTTGCTCACATCGTCGCCGCTTTGCAGAATCCAGGAAAAACCATCATGGCCTAGAACGACGGTACTTATTGCTGGACGACATGCATCGCAATAACATCTTCCAATGAGCGCTGGAACGGCAAACCAGGAGCAATGAAATAGGAAGAAGAAGAAGGGATTAAGCCAGAGCGATGCAAGATACTTATACATGAAGTAGACATGACGTCATCTCACAGCAACCAATCAGCTGTCGGCACGATTCAGCTTTCCAGATGACGTAACCTCGAGTTTTGTTTTTGCATCTTAATTAGGCTGGAACAGTCCGTTCTTAATACAAACAGCAGTAGCGAAAAAGAAGTAGAAGTAATTCATATATCCCTTTAAAATAAGAACTAAACCTTATGTAAAAGTTAGAATCATTTCAAGGAGGGGAGATGATGCAGAAAAAAGGGTTACAATAGGTCATATTTTCAACAAGTATTATAGCATCGCGTAAAGTTGCTGGAGTTGCAAGCCAGTTAATATACTGTGAAGTTCCAATAAGCCACTAAAGCTGTAGGTAATAAGACTTACTAGCTGTAGGTAATAAGACTTACTAGCTGTAGGTAATAAAGTTTTATGTTAATTTTTACATTTTTTGTGTTGCACCCTGTGTACACAGGAAGAATTAAAGAAAGATGATAACAGACCTTTCCTTTACATGTAGAGAGAATGTCTAAGGGTGAGCAATTAGTTGTAAATAATTATATTTGGTAGCTAGCTATTCTTAGTCAATATAGAGTCACATGATCTTTGTTAAAAAATGTTTTAGTTTTAAAAAAGCAGTATTAAAATCACAATCTAAGAACACCTTATAATTTTAAATAACGGATAATTACATAATTATGACATTGCTTCTAAAGTGATATTGGGATAGTCATGTACACACAAACCATTTATGTCTTGTAGCAACAATGCATAATAAAATATTTATGTGCCTTTTTTAATTTGAAAATTGTCAAATATTTTAGCTAATTTACAGCAATTTCCTTCTTTTAGCATTTAATCTGAGCGTATTTATCTCAATAAACAAATCAATACTTCCACTAGTTTCTGCTTCATCTCCTAACCTGTTAAAGTTTCTATGACGCACCACTGACGAAAAACTTTCTTTCTTAATTTAGAAGTCAAACAATAAAAATCAGCGTTATATTTGCAAATTTTCACAGGACTAGTTTCAATGGTTTTACCGAACCTCAGCTGCCAAAAAGCAAATGAACGAGATAAGGTGCGAACAGCTGGACAGGAGTTAAGCAACTGGTGCCATCTATTGATGAAACAAGAAAACTAAACCATAATTTCCTTAGAGGCTGAAGGTAAAGATGGGTTTGTATGAGGGTCGTTAACTAGAACACAAGATTTTTTTCAATGTGGAACACCTAGAAAATCTAATTTACCAACAGAAGATGTTTTTTGAATAATTTTGGCTGCACGAAAATGGAAAGCGTGATTTTTGGACCAACGATGCTGGGCAACAGTGGACTTCTGTGTTTCCTTTTTCCTAACATATGCCTCATGTTCTTTACTGTGAAATTTTAAGGCTCGCTTAGTTTGACCAGTGTAAATTAAACCACACTTGCAAGGAATACTATAAATGACCCAAGAATTCATATCCAGAATGAGGTCCTAAATTACGGAATTCAGAATTTTATTGATAGGAGAATAAACGACTCAAAAGTTAAATTTCTCTAGAATATGTGCAATATTATAGCTAACCGATGGGAAAAAAGGAATGACAACAGAATTCTTATCTCTTAAAATAAAAGTGTGCTTTTTGGTGTGTTGAAACGAGAATTATTTAACTGCTTGGTTAATAATGTTGAGTGATAAAGACCCTATCAATAGCTACAACTTTAAAATAACGTAGTTATTTAAAAGCATTTAGGCACTGATAAATTGTATCAAATTTAGGCACTGCCCTTAGGTAAATATTTAGTTTCCAGATTTACAACTCTTACATAATAGCATTTACACCATAGAAATTTAAGAGTTTGTAAAAAAAGTTAAAAGAATTTCTTCTAGAAATTTACTCCTGGTTTCCTTTGATGTAAAATCATTATTCAACAATGTTCCAATGGAAGATTCATTAAGACACCTAGAAACCACACTCTGTGAATTTTATTTCTTCTGCATTGAAATTGATGAGCTCATTTCCTTTACACAACTCTGTTTGAAAAAAATGCATTTTGTTTCCTAAAATAAGTATTACAAGCAAACTGAGGGATTAACCATGGGAAGCACTCCTAGTCTCATTCTGGCTGATATCTACGTGCATTATTATGAATCAAAATTATTTGAAACTTTAAACTTCTCTGTATGGTTCCACTACGTAGACAATACTTTACCCTGTTTGACGGCAATAAAAATGATTTAAATAAAGCTCTATCAGTAATGAATTCCATTGATCCCACTATTCAGTTCACTTTTGAACTTGTGACATGCAATTCTCTTCTGTTCAACATTTTGGTCACACATAACACATCCAACTTCGGTACTACTGTTTACAGTAAACCTTCATCAGTTTGCTTTCAACCGCACTTCAAATCATGTCATCTGACTAAACAAAAGTTAGCTTCATTTTATTCCTGTATGTTCCGCGCACTTCAATTTTGCTCCTTCAAACTGGTTCTTGATCAAGAACTAAATTATTTAAAAGCAGTAGCTATTGACAGAGGCTTTTCACACAACATTATTATCCAAGCATTTAAAAAATTCTCAACACACTGAAAGGCACTCTTGTTTTAGAAAATTGTAAGAATTAGTATGTTGTTATTCCTTTCTTTCCATCAATTTTGATAAAACTCAACATATTTTACAGAAATTTAACTTTCGGGTCATTTAGTCTATCAATAAAATGCTGAGTTTCATACATAAGAACCCCATTCTGGATATTAATTCATGGGGTATTTCCTTGCCAATATGGTTTAATTTTCTTTGGTCAAACTAAGAGAGCCTTAATATTTTGCATTAAAAACATGAAGCAGATGTTAGGGAAAAGGAAACACAGAAGTCCTCTGTTGCCCAGCATGTAGGCCTGAAAATCAAGCTTTCCATTTTTCTGCAGCCAAAATTATTCAAAAAACATCTTCCATTGGTAAATTAGATTTTCTAGAGGCATTTCACATTCAAAAAAAATCTCTCCGGCCTAGTTAACGACCCTAACTGCAATACATCTTTACCTTCAGTCTTTAAGGAAATTATGTTTAATCTCCTTGTTTCATCAATAGATGGTGCCAGTAGCTTAATTACCCTACAGGTGACCGGTAGAAGAGCATATCAGTTACAAAATTGCATGGATTTTACAAAAGTTTTAATTCTTGGAGAATTTATAGAATATCGTGTCAGTTTTACTTAGGTTATATTGGCCAAACAAAAGGAGCATTAAAGTTTTGCATAAAGGAACATGAATCTTACATCCGAAAAGGCGAAATTAACAAATCCTCAATAATTATTCAATAAAAATTTTGATTTTGGTTTTGCTAAAATTAGCTAGAAAGCTGATTCTATTAGGAACTGGATTTTCTTGAAGCTTTTCACATTCACGAAAATTTATTCTCTTTAGTCAATGACTTTAATCCCAATCCAGGCTTACTTAATGCCTTTAAAATTCTAGTACCTTAACCCTTCTTTTTTCGTTACTATTTCTGCCGCCAGATGGCGCTATCGGCTCTTCCGCTGGTCGCCGTAGGGTATAAATATGATCGACATTTGCTTTCTCTCGTTTGCAGAATTTTTAGCTCCTGATGAAGGAAGAACCGCTTTGCCCTCGAAATTGATTGGGATTTTACATAATCTACACCAAATATAAGGTTGTCAATTGCCTGTTTTATTAATAAACAATATCTGTAGAAATGCTGTATGAGCCCTTTTGAAAAATAATTCAGAAAAGAAAAGCATAAAGTGAATTTTACAAAGAAAAATTATATGAAACTGAATAGTCTGAAACAAATACATGAGAAAAACCTCAAAAAATATATGAAATTAATTTTAAAATATTTGCAGTAGCTTCTCTGGGTTTGCCAAGAAGTGTTTCGGAAACCGTTTTATAGCATGTATTATTCTGTTTTTCAGAATCAAATGATTCTCAAGTCCTAATGGAAAGTAATTTCACCTTAAAATATAACAGATAAAAATAAAAATGTATAAGCCCAATGTTATTTCTTAAATATAATTTTAATTTATTATACTTTTTCAATGATATTTATCAATACTATTATGTTTGTTAAAAAAAACGTCAAAAAATGCAAATATCTATGAATTAAAAACTTTGAATACAAACTGATTGCAAAACCACCAGAATAAGTTGCCTTGTTTAGTGCCACATAAAAAAATATCTTATTCATATCCCAAAAAGTAAAAAACTGTTTTTGATGTAACAGTTTATTAACTCTTCGTTTGTAAAAAAGAAATAATTTCAAACTGTTTTACATTTTGTTCAAGGTGCGGCCACGTGCCAAGAAACTTAAGTATTGCACTGTTTATTTAGAAGTAGGAATGAATTCAAACAGTCCCCCTTTTTGTCAATAAATAGGCAAAGCATATTCCTAAAAATATTAACACAAAAAATAGCAGCCCTTAAAGATATACAGAAATGTCTGAGCAAAATTAAGGATCTTTTGCAGATATTGACTGAAATTAAGGCCTTTCAAGTATAAAAAAAAAAGGTTTGTAAAATATCTGAGTAACTCATCCCACAAGATCACATATTCCAGTTTTACACATCTAGCTTTATTATGATTTCAGTTACCACATTTTTTACTTCTTAAGTGGTCTAGGAGACCGCTCAGAGCAGATGCATACCACTTTTAGTGGATGATAGACGTTATTTATCGGATGCTTGTATTCACAGCGAAAGCAAAAGTAAATCTGAGCTTTCTGCAGATGAATATCACAATTTTTCTAATGACTGTGACTAAAATGATAATTTTTATGGAAAAAAGCACTTCAAATGGTGCAAAAAAAGAACCAAATCGGGTGGTACGAATACCAAAGCATTACACAATAATTCAGCGAATTGGTCTGAAACATCCTGCAAAAAAAGGCTCTACAGCAGAGCCCGAAGATGCTTAGAATTTATCTTCATACATACTGTTCCAGTCATATCCTGATGCTACAAAACTGAAAAGAAGAAATTTTGTGCTTTTATTAGCTAATCAACTTCTTAAACCGCATCAGAAAGTTGGGATAACTTCCGCTTTTTTGCCAAGGGAACTGAAGGTAACAATTAGAAAAATCGTTGGAAATTCTGAGAATAGATTTATCAAATCAAGAAAAATTAGAACAACAACAAAACACACACACACACACACACGCACACACACAAAAAAAAAAAAAACACGTAGTCTGTGCCCCCCTTGTAAGAGAAAAACAACATTCAAATGCTTGGAATGCAAGGAACCAGTGTGTCTTCAGTGCTCTCAAAAAATGTGTTTTGACTGTGTATCATCTTATGATTCATCCTTGTAAACAAAGATATACTAATCTACTATTTTTTAATAACTAAATTCATTGTTGTAGAATTACAGTTTAATTGAAAGTAATGCTTAATTAAGTCGCATATTTTCATGATGTGTTTAATATTATGTTTTTCTTTAAAAGCTCTGTTCCTTAAAACGAAGTAAATGGTCATTTTTTATATGAATTTAACTGCATAAAATTAAATGATTTATGTTTAAAATATATTGATTTAAATGAATTAGAATTGTATAAATATGCATAAAGTATCTATAACATTATTTAAAAAGGCATTAAAGTATGTATTTTTATGCGTTTTCTGTGAGACTGCTCACAGTATTTATGCCGAAAAAAATTGTCACAGCAGTTAAAGGTTAAAAATTATTTCATTTAAAATTATGAAGGAATTAGAATTTTGAAATACTACTTACTTATGAGTACTTCTGTAATACAAAATTATCAATGCTTACCTGCTTCTGGATTGCTCTGGTAAACTGCCAAATCGACATGCATTCTTGGTATGGCATCATTAACTTCCCATGGTTTAAAAGCTTGTCTAGTTATAATATCTGCAAGAATTTCAAATCCAGAATCTCTGGAAAAAATATTTGATAATAAATCCCTGTTCGCTACATACAACAAAATAAATGCATCCACATACATTAAAAAAAATCACTGAAAGTTGAATTTTTAGAAATGAATCCAGTACATATTTCAAGTTTCAACCATAATTAAGGTTTTGATATGGAATAATCAAAACATTCACTTTTCTGCCAAAATTACTTTCACCTACACATGAAGAGACAAATTACACAGATTCAGATAAATGACTAGTAATCACAACAAATATGACAAAACTCAACCAAAAGATGATAAACAATGATCCAAATAATGCCAAATATGAAGATATAGTAATCAACTAATCAAAAATCAAAAATAAAAGGTTTGTGCAGGTAAGTAGATTGGTTTTCAACTTCAGCTTTAGCCAATATACACTACCCGACATTGAAAATGCAACACTAAGAAGGAGTGGCCCAAAAATTATCAAAAATTTCAAGGTAGACGCACATCATCAAGTTATGGAAATGATGTGAAATGCACAACTCTCCAGCTCACATTGAAGACATAAGGGATGGAACCAGCAGAACGTTCAATTTTCTTGCCATTATATCTGCTAGGGATATCATTGTAGAAAATTTGCTCTTGTCTGAGAGGATGCGTGCAGTAGAGAATGCCAGGCCGTTGTCAAAAGAGCAAGTTCTAGCAGACAGATGACTTTATGAGGAGCACAGTGGTCAGACAGAAAATGGCAGGTTAGTCCATACAGCAAATCTCAGTTGACACGCTTCTGGATGCGTCCACAGTGTACTATGAGTCACACTTGTTTCTCAAATGATGGTCGCCGCATATGAGTACGGTGTCGATGTGGAGACAGGTCCAACCTGGCAGCAATTGTGGAATTCCCCACCACGCGACATAGCAGCATCATGGTTTAGAGTGCAATTGCATACGATTCCAGGTCACCTCTGGTTTGTACTCTGAGCACAATAATGGCCCAATGATATGTGGATGATGTGCTGCAGCTGGTGACACTCCACCTTCAGGGTTATGCCTAGTGCCCTTTATCAGCAGGATAATACCCGACCATACACTGCTCGCATCAGCCAAGGTGTACAGAAGCTTCCCTGGCCACACTTCTCTCCTGATCTCTCACTAATTGAACACATTTGAGATATGATTGAATGTTATTTGCAGACCCTCTCATTGCCACTTTCAGATGACGAACTGTGATAAATGGTTGACAGAGAATGGAGAGCCATTCCTCGGGACGCCATCCGTTGTCTCCCCAACTTTTCACCTAGACATGTTGCTTCATGTATCGCTGTCCAAAGTGGTTCTACAACCGACTGAGCTGATGCTGTTCTTGTTCTGTATTATGTACACGGTGACCTTTTTTAAAGTGACAGTGTTTGGAGCGCCCTATAGCGCGATCCAATAGCCAAAATGGCACCAAACTTGGTATTTAGACTAATCAAGACATAGGACATCAGGACATACAATTGTTAATTAATTAATAGTTAAATTATTAATGTTTATTTACTACATTAACTTCCCCGGTGAGGAATTAGACCACATTCAATGTGAGCACCGTTCTCAGAAATAACACCGTGCATTCTGTGCACAACGTTCTCCACAGTCATATGTAACATATCACGAGGAATATTCTGTACTGTCTTTGTTATGTTGTCCTTTAGAATAGACAAATTTGATACTCCACCAACATAAACTTGAGATTTCCAATAACCCCAGAGCCAAACATCGCATGTCATGAGGTCAGGAGAATGACGCAGCCATGCAACTGGAAAACTGCAACTTATGACTCTATCATCAGTGAGTGATTAGTCTAAATACCAAGTTTGGTGCTATTTTAGCTATTAGATCGCGCTACAGGGCGCTCCAAACACTGTCACTTTAAAAAAGATCACCGTGTTTATCAATTTTGAAATAAAGAAAGATTTTGATCTAAGGTAGTAACTTAATTAATTATATTTCATGAAGAAAGCTTTGTTTTCCTTCAGAATAACATTAGGGTTTTCAGTTATATGAATGTTGAAACATGTATTATTTCCAATAAGTGTGTCCCCTAAAAATAAAAATCTTGCAAAATAAAATTACAGGCTGCAGTACTTTCTGTAAAATTGCCAATATGAAAGCATGTTCAGATAGAAGATATCAGATATATCCTTGTTGAACTAACTGACAAATTATTCTAAAATTTCAGGTGAACATTCACTTAAAAGTGAAATGCCCTATAAAATTTCATTATTAAGCAAGTTATTTAAACTACATTAGGAAATGACCGTTAGATATAGCTATATTAAGTCTTGATGATTTCATCTCTCTTATGCAGATCATATCACTTTGATCTAAACTACTGGTTAAAGATATGGCATACTTTGCATTCTACCAGAAAATCAAGTCAGCTTTTCTTTGACAAGTTTTTAGATAAAGAAGAAAAACCAAAGAGCATTTCTGCAAATGATATGACCCAAAGTCATTTGCATATGAGTTTAAATTGAAAGGATATACATACTGTTCCATTCTAAAGAATTAATATTCTATGAAGAAGACTCATGAAAAATACTTTCAAAATTGCAAGTTCATCAGGCATTCCATAATTACATGGTAGTGGACAGAATTCTATTTATAAATCCTGCTGGGATCAGGTCCCTTTCTTAAGCCTAGCATTTACTACACAAAATGCCACACATCAAGGCTTTAAAGAATTTTTTCAAACTGTTTTTAACCCTTCAGCTAAAAAGTGAGAGAGACAATACCATTCAGCTAAAAAGTGAGACCAAACCATTCAGCTAAAAAGTGAGAGACACAATACATTATAATTAGCGCAATATTATCATAGTCAATGGTACAAATGTTTACAGCTATAATACACAGATTTAATTCTTGTTAAAACATGTATACTTTAAGTTTTCACAAGGCATGAAATCAAACTACTAAGAAAATTTTGGATTATGCATAATACTCATATGTGAACTGTCATCACTGTGCCAACTAAAAAAACATTTCTATATTCAACCAGTAATCAACAAATGAGCTATGGGTTAACCATCCGAGTATTACGAGCTTAGCTCTGAAATTTTAAAGTTCTTGAAAATGTCACAAATAAATGACATTTTCCTGATTATAATTAAAAAAAGGCTCTTTCATTTTGTACCTTGAATTCTTTTCTTCAAATATACATCCAACCCGAAACCAGATATACTACCAGCTGGCAGAAATTTTCATGCACAAATGAATAAGAAAGCCACTCTTCTATACCAAATTTTACATCCATAACAAAAGATAGAACCATAACAAAAAATCGGACGGATAAACAAAACAACCAATTTTGCTTCATACAGCAATTCCTCTCATGAAAACAGAAATAACTACAAACATTATGATCTACGATGCCATATCCATCAGTATGACAGACTTCATTTAGCCACTTTCAGGCTCTGACTTTGTTAAGAATAATTATTACTTCAGACAACAATCTTGAAGCTGACAAGAAAGAATGCCATGATAACTGGAAAGGCAAGCAGAGTCTTTCTAAAATTTTCCCCGGGTTTTAAAAAATATTACTTAAAAATTTTTAAATATACAAAATGATTTCATATATAATATGCTAAGATTTTTTTTTGGGGGGGGAGGAGGGTAAATTTGAAAATGCTCTACATTTGCAGCATGGTAGACTTCAAGACGGCCAAACTTCTGTCCATTAAATCCATTAAAATCATGTTTGAGGGCACTCTGAAATGGCTGCCATGAATTTTCTGACATAGTTCTTTGACTTTGAATCTCTTCATTTCAGGATTTTCAGAAGAAATAGGATGGTAAAGCTTTACTCTTTGCAATTAGGTTGGTTCTCTTAATTACTCTGACTTAAAATCTTTGAAGAAAATTAAGAAAATTTTGCTCTGCTAACAATATGGTAACAATTCCCTTAAATGGCCAAGGGTTTAGTCATTAAGTTATTCAAGTTCCCAAATTTACTCCAAGAAATTTATTTTTTGAACAGACTTATAAAATATCCCTGACAGTTTACATCTTGATTCTTTACCTTTGGTTACACTGCACTAACAGCTCAGACACATTCTGTGACACATAATATGTACTCAATTAGAACTATTAGGGAAAATATCTCATGTACATACATAACTCGGTCAGCAATACAGTTAAACTTGAATCAACAGAAAATGTCCTTCACATAAAATAAGGTTTGCGAGATAATAGTCTGATAGAAAAAAATGGGTATTGAATTTTATGATCCCAATATTCCCACTAAAAATTACTGTTGAAGACACTTAGAATGAGCCAGTGCAAATTACTTATTCATGACAATTTTGACTAGTGTTCTCATGACAAAACAGAAGGCTACTCTGGCAGGAATATCTCCAAAAAGCTAAGGCCCTTTCTATAAAAATACAGGTTGTTACAAAAATTAAAAAATAAATATTGTGTTAAGTGTATTCCATGGCGAACAATGTGAGGATGTTTTCACACAGGGCGTTGGGGGAAGCTAGCTCATATTCATGTTAAACATGGTGAAAATTACGCAGGGTTCTTAATGAACTTTGGCTTTTCATAATGAAACAAAACAACTTCTCTGAACAATCAGAATGGAATAGCTTGCCAAATTAAGTAGAAGCGGTCCCCCCCTTACAAAATACAATGAAATAACTAAAAACACTATAAAAATTTATCTTACCAGTAAATGGAAATGAAAGAAATCCATGCCTTTAAACTATTAAAAAATACACAAAGTTTAAAAAATAACAAACTCTTGAAATTTCAGCTTACAAAAGAAATTTGTAATAATCAAAATTCAAAGTAAATACCCTTTCTTTGGTGTTTCAAAACAAAACTGGATTTAAAAATGACGATTTCCAAAAATTATTTATTATACCACATAACTATATAATGCAGCAGACTTTTAAATGGCCTTACTAAATTTTTTGGAAGAGTTGTTGCATTTCTAAAGAAAAATGCAATAATTCTGAAGCAAAGAATGAAAAACAGCTCACAATAACATGGAAGAAAAGCTTAGGGTTGACAAAATTGTATCATACATGGATTGATTAAAATAGTTTGTGCAAAAAAAAAGTGACCACTACAACTCTCCATTTACTTTCCAAAACTGTCAGTTTTTTTATAGGTTACAGCTTGAGATATGAACTTTTATTATTTCAGAGGTATGACCTGAACTTTTTTAAGCTCCATTGACTTGAAAAAAGTTTCACATTTTTTCTGATATTTTGAAAAACTTTTATACTTTCATTGCCTTTCCCTGCCCACTTTACTTCCCTGACTTTTCAGGATTTTCAAGATTAGTGGAAGCCATACTATGAAAGATTCAATTAGCCAGTCTGTTCACTACTTAACCCTCTTTAAGCAAGATACCACTCCTCGACAATCTTATCTACTTATACACTCGCATAAATTTATTTCATGATGTAATTTGTTTATGAAGAAGTTACTTGTACACTGTGTGTTTTACGCACTTTCATGATGAGTTTGCATATATGCACACAGATGATAAAAATGCAAGGAAAAAATATCATTTAACTAAATGATTATTACAGTATTTTTTTTCAAATCTGCTTAAATAATGACTTTATAATAGCTCAGTATATATAGTAATGTATAAAAATTACTTTATAAAATCTGCACTTACATATCATCACGAATGCACTGCAATGTATAAATTAAATGCTCTCGGGTAGCAGTCACTCTGAAATAAAGCACTTTAATATTAAAAATGCAAATGCAGCAAAGACATTAAAAAAAGTAAGCACACAATGTTAAAAAACGCAATGTTACAATGTTAAAGTGAAATGTTAAAAAAAGTGTGATTACTAATGAAAAGACCACATAAAGGTATTTCAACCCAAATGAAGAGTAAAACTTGGTCCAATGATGTATTCAATTACACAGGAGGGGAAAAATTCACAGCAAAAAGAATAAAAAAAATTGTTACAAAAGTTCTAATTTTAAAGAATATTAAAGTCTATCTTAATCAGTTCTAAATAAAACCTCAGCAACAAGAAACTGCAAAATTTCAAAACAATACTAAAATAACTTATGTAACTTACTTATTAATTAATTATCTTAGTTAAAAAATCATATAAAAATAGATCAATATAAAAGATAAATTCATACAAATATAACCATATAATACATGACTTTTATAATGACTATAAAAGATTTTCTATTATATGCATTTAGCAAATAATACTTTTATGCATTTCCCCTATATTTTGAAAACTTTATCATATAAGGGGCCATAAAAATCTTTAATAAATGCCTTTTTGAATAACATGATGCATGAAACAGGAAAAAATTACACATATTCAGAGTTTGTATGCATTTCTTTGAATGAAAATTAAGGACTTTTAAAGCCATTTAAGAGCCACCAATGAAAACAAAAATTACGGACCTATTATTAAACAGAATTGAATAAATTAACTGCCTTCCCTTTTGCAATACTATTCTAAGAATAAAACAGTACGTAAGATGCATTAATTATTTAACACAATCTAATATTTAGCATAAAACATGTTTAGTAAAAATAAGCTTGAGAGTAAAACTACATTTTCAAGTAAACAACATTAAATTCCTTGAAACACTTATAAAGAATATTTCCATGATCAGTATTAAAAAAATATTTGTTAAAAAACAAAATCACAATGTGAGGAAATTTCGCAGTTTAAAATAACACATATAATTTATGATGCTGGTTTTAAAAGGTATTGGAGCAATTACACAATAAAAGATACAAAACATCCATAACAAAATTCTTCAATCAGAAATGTTTCTCAATATTTCAGCTTGCTTATATTTATTTCCTTCAATTTAATTACTTACTATGTTCATTTGCTTTAAAGAAAAATATCAAGGCTCCTACTAATCTCTGTATCATCTACTAACTTGTTAACATCTTCAATACCCCCTTTGAAAGCAAATTTCCTCCTGCTTCTCTATACAACCAATTTCTTTTTCAATAAATTTTCTTTTCAGAATCAAAATTTTTGTTTTAAAAAACTGCATGTATTTAGAATGAGGAGAAGAAATTGCTAATCTTATTTTATTAGTAAGTTGCATATTGAGAATAATTCCAGAAATCTTTATGAATACATGCTCAGATATGTAAGATAAATATTTATATAAATTTTCAATATCTCTACTAACATAAGAATTCCTTTTTATAGATGCCACTCTGTGACAAGACTAAAATCATTTTTGCAATCTCCATACTTCAGAACATTGAAAATCACAAAAATAAACGAAAAGAAATATATCAAGAGAAAGATATTTAGGATCAAAAAAAGAAAAAGAACCTCTTTATTACACCCACCAGCGGCCGTGGTAGTTTGGTCCGAGATTTGAATCCCGCGGACGGGCTGGCTGCTTGGGCGTTTTCGTGGTTTTCCCCATGTATAACGTGTATACAAGCCAGTTTCCCTTAGAAAGTCCTCTATGAAGGCATCCCTTCCCTTAGGCAGATAGCACTAGTGTGCTTTGCCATAATTAAATAAACCAAACGAAAACCTCTTTATTACTACAATCTCCATCACTTAAACAGCTTCAAAGCTGCAACCCTACCCGAAGGTGTACAAAGACTGTTTGCCAGAAGGCCTGCAATCCTAACCATAGTCGTTTATGCTCTACCCATCACAAGGAAATGCTCCGAGTATGACTGCAGCTTTGGCATAACTAATTAACAAAAGAACTTTGTGTGCCATTTTAATAAACGAAACTATAACAATAATGGAGCATGGTAGCATGGCACTGTTTTAATTTGCTTTATCCAAAAATTCTTCAAACAATATGAGAAATACACCTGTCGTACAGTAAAATATGTCTATCCTATGTTATTTCTTTTCACAGGCTTTTTAGCCATTACAATACAAAAACCAACTTTGTGAGAATACAAAGGAAAAGGTTTTTAAAAAAAAATTCAGAAAAGAGCATAAAATACATTTTACAGAGAAAGCTAAAAAACACCAGAATATTATCAAAGAATAAAATATATATATTTGATATTTTAGCAGTTGAGCACATGAGTGACGAAGCCTGCCATCAGAGTGCGGGCATTGTTTGGCTGAGTGGAACAGCAGAAATGATGACACAGATTTTACTTTTTACTATTCCATATCTTTATTTCAATTTTCACCGCAGATCATTTTTACTTTAGATGAAATTCTCCAAATGTATATTCAGCAGCGGTTTAAACTAAGTAAGAATAAATTTAAGACTTTCTGCGTCATACATATTCTAACAAAGGAATGGGTTAAGCAGCAGCAAAGTGTTGTAGTGCAGGAGGAGAGAAGCAATCTGATGCAAAATGACATGAATTTGTTATTTATAGAAGCGGTTATGTAATAGGCTCGAATGTTCTCAAAAATACTGGTCTAGGGGAAAGATTCTAATATTACGGAAAGTTAATTAGAGGTTGCTTGTTCGCATGGAGCAAAGCCATCGTATTTTTTATATTTTACATATATATAACACAAAAAATTACATAAATTAAAATCATTTTAACACAATTAACAGTAGCATTCTTGCTTTTGTCAAAAAAAAAAAAAATCAGAACCAAAATAAAAGCTAAAGCCATTTTTAAAACATGACAGATGTTAATAAAGCATTTTAATGATATTTTTCTTTTTAAATATAATTCTAATAAGCTGTTGTTACTTTAAAAACTTTGCAATTATGTTCCTACCCTTGATGAAAAATCATCAGAAAATTCACAAATCAAAATTTTTGGAGACATAAAAGCTCCAAAATGTTGAGTCGCCAAATTTGGCAATGCACAATGCATTCCTTTTGCAAAAAGGGAAAAGGATTGTTTTGGGTGCAATAAAGACAACAAATTTAAACAATAACCAGAATGTCTGCCAAGAGCTTAAATACAAATCTGGGAATAATTAGAAAATTGGAACAACTTTTGAAGGCTTTGGGGGGGAAAAATGCAAAATTTGTAAAAAATTAATTTTGCAAGATTTTAAAATTAAGCAATTTTCAAAAAAAAAAAAAGTGAAATGTTGTCAGAAGTGCATTAAAATCATGTACCTATATATATTGGTAAAATATACATTCCGACAAAAAAGTGCCTGAACAGCCAACCACAGTGAATTTTTTTATTCATATTTTTTTAACTCGACTGATTATTCCGTCTCCAAAAGAATGCTTTAGATCAGCTCTAGGCAGCCTCTTTTTGGCCAAACAGCCACATTTCAGATTTACATGCACGCACATACACATCAAAAAAAAAGTTGCAAATAAACTAACATTGTTGAGACATTAGGTATTTTGGAAGCAGGAAAGATGAAAAATTAGCAACGCCCTCGCCAGGAACTGAACCATGGACCTCTGGAATACGCGCTCCGTGTGCAAACCACTACACTACGAAGTCATGTTAAGAAGGTGGGAGAAATACATTATATACTCCCCTTTTTAAAAGGGTTTTTAAGGGACCCAATCGCCAAACCCTGGGTGTGGAGAATCATCATCCACCACCCTTTTTAGTTCCGGTGCCACTGCATACACATTAGGTATTTTGGAAGCAGGAAAGATGAAAAATGAGCAAGGTCGTCGCCGGGAATCGAACCACGGACCTCTGGAATACGCACCCAGCGTGCAGACCACTACACTATGAAGGCATGCTAAGAAGGCGGGAGAAATACCTTATAATATCTTTAAATATAAACTGCTGTTATAAGCGAACTGAATTCTAACATGAAAATATACAAATGTCTAACAACCCAACAATTAACTAAGACGAAATATTCTGTTTCCTAAACTTGCATAAATTTTTCGAAAATCACCAAATTTTGCTTATGAAGATCAATATACAATCTAAGAAATTTTATCTTGATTTGAAAAAGGTTACAAATAATTTACAAATTTTCAAATTAAAAATATATCATAAATTCAAATTTATTTTATTTCATGACACATTAACCCATTAACGAACCCGCCCCTCGGAATGAAATGCTTTGAAAATGGCCGCGTTGTCAGTCAACAAACCCCTCCAAAAAAAAAAAAAAAAAAAAAAAAAAAATCGCTTTTGTTTTCTGAAATCTCTCTAAGATGGCCCAGCCTAAGGCAGTATGTTTGCTTCCCTTAGTATGATGGATAGCCATAAAATTGGCTCCCGCTAAGAATGGCAAGAATACTTTTTGCGTTAGTTTCGTCTTCCTCCTTTTCTTGTACTGTAACTTGTTTCTTTTAATATGTGATGTTCGAATTTTCCGAAATCTTTTTAGAATTTTAGCTTCCAATCTTGTAATTTTCAATTATTCGACATGTTTTATTGGGCAGTATTTAAGAAAGATCATTATTTATTTTGTTACACATTTTTTACTATTTACTTTTGTATTTCTTAGTTTTAGTAGGCCAATTTATCTTGGGAAATCAATTTAATCCATTCTTTACCGACTCAGTTTTCAACACATTATCGTCCATATATATTTATGATGAAGTACAATATTATCAGGAATTTTGGCATACGTATTTATATTTTAGCGTTGAATTTTTTAAACAAGTTTTTCGTTAACAGTCGAGCTCATCCTTGTAAACGCTTGATCTATGGAATTGGCAAGCAATCCTTCCTAATATTTCCTAATATTCTTCGGGATTCCTAATATTTTTCGGGATTTTACAGCAATTTCTAGAATTTTGGCGGTTTTCTACAAATATTTTGGTAAGTTTAGCTATTATACAGTTGCT